ATAAGATTATAAGATGTATAATATAATGATACAATTATATTACTATATTAATATTATAAGAGTACATTATGTAATAATACACTGTAACATTAATTTTATATAAGATTATAGGAGTATATTATTATGATATTAATATTATATAAGATTATAAGAGTATATTATTATACAATAATGCATATTATTAAAACATTAATATCACATAATATTATATTATTATATAATAATACAGGTGGTCTCCAAGGACCTCTCTATGTGAAGAAGATGCAGATTCAAATTCAGCTGCAAACTGGCCCTCTGAATATCAAGGGGGGAAACGATACGGCCGGCAGATTCACTCCAGTAACTTCATGTGTTTTGATTCTGTTTCCAGTCATCACAATATTTAAAGGCAAAGTGGAAGAGATTGAATTGCCTGTGGACAAAGTAGATATCATAATCAGTGAATGGATGGGTTACTCCCTTTTCTATGAGTCCATGCTTAACACGGTCATCTTTGCTCGAGACAAGTGGCTGGTAGGCGTTTGGTATCTTCTACCGTATTAGCTTCTTAGAAGGTCTTTCAAAGGTTGGTTTTGGAGTGACAGATGCCACGCGATTTCAGTGGCAACTAAAATATGAATGCCAAGGATATCTCATGCTTAGTTGTGCTTGTTAAAATGTATGTGTTTCCATCTTTCCATAATCATTACTATACAATGGCTCACATATATGGTATATTGTTTATAAAACAATAGTCCCAGCACTGATGGTGTTACCTAGTTGGGTAATGAAATGTCTGCAAGAAAACAACCAAGCTCAGAGAGCACTAAGGACCCCACAGTCCTCCTCCTCCTCCTCCTCCTCCTCCTCCTCCACAATCCCTACTCCCTTCTAGCACTGATGATGATGTTACATAGTTTGGGTAATGAAACGTCTGCAAGAAAATAACCAAGCTCAGAGAGCACCAAATAGCTCCCCACAGTTCAGCTCTGAGCTACAATTATTCTCTTCTTTTGAAACCCACTTAAATCACATTCAAATGAAAACTAAAAACGGAGGCGTATCCTTCTCAACCTCTCCAAAGTTGAGACAAACAAACAGATGAATCTGCCAAAATCTTGACCTCACTAGATGTTACAATTTAAATTCAGATTTACATGAGAAACTTTATTCACTGAGAGTCGATTAACCACCACAAGGGCTATTCATGCTTCCAAAATTTACTTTATTCACTGCCCAACGTCCTTTTTTGATCCAGTTTTTAATTGTGTGTGTGTGTGTGTGTTTTAACTAGTGGGGAAAATATCTGACATTGATCTGGTCAATGTCAATGATTTTAAAAGTTAAACAAAACCAGAGATCCTCAGAACACATATTTTTATTTTTGGGAAGTGTGGGAGAAACGCTAGATGGGCCTCACTTCTGGTAAAATTGTTTCTCCCATCATGTAAAGCTTCTTGATCAGGGTTTGACAATCTTCTCAACTTTGAGATGTGTGGACTTCAACTCCCAGAATTCCATGCTAGTTGGGGCATTCTGGGAATTGAGGTCCACGTGTCTTAAAAGTTACCAAGGAAGATCATCCTGTTCTCTGGAACTGTAATGTGACAGAGAGAAAGAGAGATGATTTTCATTGTCTTCCTCCAGTCAGGTTCTGGTTTGGTGTTGGTCTAATTTCCCCTTTGTCCTTTGCTCCATTTCAATGATTCCAGACTGAGGGTAGGGAACTATGCCCCTTTTATAACTTGTGGACTTAAACTCCCAGAATTCCATGCTGGCTTGAGAATTCTGGGAGTTGAAGTCCAGACATCTTAAAAATTGCTGGGTTGAGAGATGCTGGTTTTGAACATCGAAGTATTAATCACACACATATATAAAACACCATTTAGACCCAGGGTGGGCAACTATGGCCCTTTTATGAGTTGTGGACTTCAAAGAGGAGGGGGTCAAGCTATTTTCTAAAGCACCTGTAGACCAGACAAGGAATAATGGATGGAAACTGAACAAGGAGAGATTGAACCTGAAAATAAGGAGAAATTTTCTGACAGTAAGAACAATCAACCAGTGGAACAGCTTTTATTTGGAAGTTGTGGGAGCTTCATCACTGGAGACTTTCAAGAAGAGACTGGACTGCCATCTGTCAAGAATGGTGTAGGGTCTCCTGCTTGAGTGGGGGTGGGGGTGGGCTAGATGACCTCCAAGGTCCCTTCCAACTCTGTTAATCTGTAATCCAAACTCCCAGAATCCCATGTCAGCTCGGGGATTCTGGGAGTTGAAGTCATGAAGGGGGCCATTGTTCCTCACCTTTGTCCTAGACCAAAGAAAGATTTGAGATGGCCCCGAATGTCATCCTTCCAAGCCTTTTGGAGTTGTGAAGTGACATGAAAGAGGAAGGGATGTTTTGTCTGGTTGTTGTGTTTTGTCACTTTTATTCGCGTTCAAAAATGTGATGTTTTTGTTAGGTGAATAGATTAAGACATCCATTTCCACACAATTCGTCAACAGAAACCTGGAGGGCTTATGTTTCCAGACCGAGCGGCTTTGTACATGGTAGCCATCGAAGACCGACAGTACAAGGATTTCAAAATCCACTGTGAGTCCGCAGACAACTTATACAGCTTCGCCAGGGATGGGATTCAAATTTATGCGGGCGTGGCCTAACTTGTGGGTGTGGCTTGGTGGTCATGTGACTGGATGGGCGTGGCTTGCTGACTGGACATGGCTTAATGGTCATGTGACTGGCTGGGTGTGGCTTGCATGCAAATATTGTAAATATTTATGTAAATATTGATTTTTTTTTAATAAAAAAGAGCAACTTTAAGACAAAATCAGGCAAAGCAGGCAAGCAGATTGAGTTGCTTGCAGAATCACAGATTCACTCAGAGATCTACCTTTCTGCAATCTGCTGCCTGAGTCTGTCACATAAAATTTGCTTGCAAGCAAACCCACAAAATTAACTTACAACACACCATGTATATAAATATTGAATTTTTTATTTAAAAAGAGCAACTTTTACCCAAAATCAGGCAAAGCAGGCAGGCAGATTGAGTTGCTCACAGAATCACAGATTCATTCAGAGATCTACCTTTCTGCAATCTGCTACCTGAGTCTGCACTGAAAAATAGAAGCTTCAGTCCTAAAGGAGGTTCAGCTCTGCTTTTAGATGATTTCCTGCTTTCTAGCTAATCTAAATCTCCCGGCACAGCAGGGTGGACACAAATAAATACAAAAATAAAATTATTATTATGGTGACTAATTGAAGTCAGGTCACTCTTAAATTTGATTTATTCAAGGACCAGGGTTTCTGAACCTTGGTAACTTTTAAATAGGTGTGTATCAATATGTTGGACTTCAACTGCCAGAATTCCCTTGCTCTGGCTGGGGAATTCTGGGAGTTGAAGTCCACCCAATTGAAAGTGGTTAAGATTGAGAAAAGATGCTGTAAGTGCTTATTTACGCAAATGAAAACCATCCCCTTCTTTGCCTTGACAGGGTGGGAGAATGTCTACGGCTTCGACATGACCTGCATCCGGGACGTGGCCATGAAGGAGCCTTTGGTGGACATCGTTGACCCAAAGCAAGTGGTGACCAATGCTTGTTTAATAAAGGTTTGGTGCTTTTCAAAATATAAACTTTCAAACAAGGTCCTTCTGCAAGACTCATAGTTTTTTTTAACTCCTTCTATTGCAGGGGGTCTTCAAACTTGACAGCTTGAAGATTTGTGGACTTCAACTCCCATAATTCCTCCTCCAGTCACGTTAGCTTGGGAATTCTGGGAGTTGAAGTCCACAAGTCTTAAACTTGCCAAGTTTGAAGACCAGAGAGAGAGAGAGAGAGAGGGAGGGAGAGAGAGAGAGAGAGATAAGATAAGATAGATCAGGGGCGTTCAAACTTGACAGCTTGAAGATTTGTGGACTTCAACTCCCAGAATTCCTCCTCCAAGTCACGTTAGCTTGGGAATTCTGGGAGTTGAAGTCCACAAGTCTTGAAGCCGTCAAGTTTGAAGACCCTTGTTCTATTGTCTTTACATGTGGCTGTTAAATAGTAGGTGTGGATTTTCCTTTCTTTCAATGAAGCGATAACCTTCATTTGTATAGATACTTTTCAACTGTGAAAGCTGGGATTTGGAACTTCTGCTGTTGAAAGCCTGCTGTTCTCATTTAGTCCCACTTCCAAGGAATCTAACACTGGCAAGCCAAGTTAACAAATTGTTTAAGAAACAGAAATTTGCAAGCAGTGAAGGGGGTGGGGGGGGGAAACAGAGGAGGTGAGAACTGCAGCTGAGTGTTGGCAGCACTAAGGAAACACCAAATGCCGGGGTTGTAAGAAAATCCCCACCATGAAAAAAGAAAAGGAATTCCAATAAAGGTTAGATCAGTTTTGAATGAATGAGGGTTTCATGTCAGATTATTTAGATTATTTCCCATAGTAAAGCTCAAGTAGAATTACAATCAACTGTAGAATGTTCTGTTTTATATCCATAGCCTGCTGAGACAGAACCACAGCCAAATCTGTTGAGTAGCTAAAAGGTTGTTATTTAAATGCAACGCTTTGAAAGCCTAAAGATTACAACTTTTTAATTTCATTTTCCAAATGTTTCTTTGTTTGGGGTATTTCACTGTAGAAATGCAGCACTCTCTCTCTCTCTCCCTCTCCCTCCCTCCCTCTCTTTCCCTCCTTCTCCCTCTCTCTCCCCCTCCCTCTCTCCCCCTCCCTCTCTCTCCCTCTCTCTCTCCATCCCTCCCTCTCTCTCCTCCCTACCTCCCCCTCCCCCCCCCTCCCCCCCCCCCCCTCTCCCCCTCCCTCTCTCCCTCCCCCTCTCCCTCCCTCCCTCTCCCTCTCTCATACACACAAACATACAAACACAAACACACACAGTCAGAGAAACACCATGAAAACAAAGGCAAAATAGCAACGTTTTTAAATTGGTGACTTTAGCACTTGCTACTCGCTTGCTATTTTGCTTCAACAGTTCAACAACTTATGCTACAGAATTTGAGCAGGAAGGACTTTGAGCAGAATTTGAGCAGAAACCCCTCCAAGTAAGCAGGGGGTTGAGCTTAAGAGATATTATTTCTATTTCTTTTTTTATAAAGTTTTTAATTTTTTTTTAAAGACAAACACTAGCAAACACAAACATAAAACATCAACATAAAACCGTCTACAGTGTGTCGATTGGTACATTTCTTTCATGCAATGTCACAATATCAACAGTCTTCCCTTCCAAACATACATTCATATTACATAAGTCAACTATACATATTATATTATGTTATATTGTGTTATTATTGTATCATTGTTAGACCCACTAAAATGTATATATTTCTTAGCGAGCAAATCTCTATTTTAACAAACCTGGGATCATACAATTAATTTCCTTATATTCAATTATATAACATAATTACATCATATTATCCTACATATTATACTATTCCTTTCCATAACATAGTTTACTTCTCTATTTTCTTATCTAGCCATTGATAAAATAAATCCCAAATTTTATAATATTCTTTATCTTCTTGCTCTTTGATTGCTAATGTCAATTTACTAATTTCTGCACATTCCATCATTTTCTTCATCACTTCTTCCTCTATTGGAATTTTTTCGCTCTTCCAATTTCTAGCAAATACAATTCTAGCCGCCGTTAACACATTTATGATCAAATACATCAATTCTCTATTGTATCCTTCAGGCAAGATACCCAATAAAAATATATCTGGTTTCAAATCTATATGCTGTTTTATCATTTTTTCAAGCCATGTATGAATCTTAGTCCAGTAACTCTTTGCTTCCACACACATCCACCACATATGATAATATGATCCAGGTATCTGATGATACTTCCAACATCTCTCTGATTTGTTCTTGAACATCCTTGCTATTCGTGTTGGGAGTAAATGCCACCTGTAAAACATCTTATACAAATTCTCTTTATACACTACCGACATTGTCAATTTATAATTTCGAGACCATAGTTTTTACCATTTATCTAAATCTATCCCATGTCCAAAATCCCTCCCCCGGGCAATCATTGCTTCTTTAACTTGTTCTTCCTCCAATTTAATTCCAAGTAAGTAACCATACATTTTTTTAATCATTTTCTCATCAGTACCTGTTAAGATTTCATCCAGTTCTGTAAGTTCATTATAAAATCCCTCTGTTTTACAATCTTTGTCATACCTAGAATGTATTTGCATATACTCATCTTAATTTCTTGCTCCTCTATTCTTGTTTAGATTTCAGTTCACCCTTTTCATTTAAAATTATTTCTATTTCTATTACAGATAGTCTTCGACTTACCATCACAATTGACCCATAATTGCTAAGCAAGGCAGTTATTAACTAGCCCATTTTGTGAGCTATTTTGCCACAGTTATTAGGCAAATTACTGCAGTTGTTAAGTGAATCAGTTGGTTGTTAAGTGAATCTGACTTCCCCCATTGACTTTGCTTGTCAGAACCCGGCTCGGAAAGTTACAAATTCTATTCCTATTCTGTTTCTCTGTTCTGTTCTGTTCTGTTCCGTTCCGTTCCGTTCCGTTCCGTTCCGTTCCATTCCATATTTTCTATTCTATTCTATTCTATTCTATTCTATTCTATTCTATTCTATTCTATTCTATTCTATTCTATTCTAATTCTAATTCTAATTCTAATTCTATTCCATTCCATTCTAATTTCCTCTTTCTATTCTGTTCTGTTCCGTTCCGTTCTACTCCATTCCATTCCATTCCAATCCAATTTCCTGTTCTGTTCCGCTCCATCCCATCTCATCCCATTTAATTCATTCCACTTCACTCCACCCCATCCCACTCTACTCCATCCCATCCGTTCATTCCACTTCATTCCTTTCCTTATGGGAAATATTGTTTTTAGTGCTCATCATTTTTGGTATTCATCGTGCCTCCTGGAACCAATTAACGAAGAGTACCAAGGTACCACTGTACCTTGCACCTCCTCTTCTGAGTCTTAAACCCGCTTTGAGACGTAAGCATCTTCTGATTGGGTTGTGCTGTTCTCCTAGGGCCCGTTCTAAATATTGTAGGCTGAGAAATCTGTAATACTTAATGAAACTCTTCTTCATCTCTCCATCAATGCAGGACGTTGATCTTTACATCGTAAAGCTGGAAGACCTGGCCTTCACCTCTGCGTTTTGCCTCCAGATTCAACGCAACGACTACATTCACGCCTTGGTCACCTATTTTAATATAGAATTTACAAAGTGCCATAAGAAAATTGGGTTTTCTACAGGTAAATAATTCCTTCCTTCCTTCCTTTCCTCTTCCTTCCTTTCTTCTTCCTTCCTTTCTTCTTCCTTTCTTTCCTGCCTTCCTTTCTTCTTCCTTCTTTCCTTTCTTTCTTTCTTGCCTTCCTTATTTATTTATTTTTCTTCCTTTCTCTTTCTTGCCTTCCTGCCTTTCTTCTTCCTTTCTTCCTTTCTTTTTTCTTTCTTTCCTGCCCTCCTTCCTTTTTTAATTTCTTCTTCCATCTTTCTTTCTTTCTTTCTTTCTTTCTTTCTTTCTTTCTTTCTTTCTTTCTTTCTTTCTTTCTTTCTTCTTTCTTTCTTTCTTTCTTTCTTTCTTTCTTTCTTTCTTTCTTTCTTTCTTTCTTTCCTTTCTTTCTTTCTTTCTTTCTTCTTTCCTTCCTTCCTTCCTTCCTTCCTTCCTTCCTTCCTTCCTTCCTTCCTTCCTTCCTTCCTTCCTTCCTTCCTGGCGTAATAGTTTCCCCTTCCCCCCTTACTTTAATTCATTTCTTGTAACCTAAATGTTCAGTTCTCCTGCGATTAAATGTGCTCTGATGTCCCTTAGTTTCAACCTTACTCTGCAGTGAGCAATGGATTATTGCGGATTTCATGGGGAGCTATAAACCGACATTGTCGGTTGCTTTGGGAACAAAACAGGGCTAATGGCTCTGATCTGGCATCTCACAACGCTGGAAAAAAACCCGATGCTTTACAATTGAAACCTAAAAGCAATGGTTTTATTCATGTGGAAAACGTGCTGCATGTGCTATTATTATTTTAAACCACCACATTTTTCACTTTTACTGCCTTAAGTGCTATCTGGGGGAGGGAGGATTCCCATTGAAGTAATTCTAACAATTCGGTCCCAAATGCAAGCACATAACTGTACTCAAGCAGTGGTGCAGAAAGCTTTATTATTTTACTAGCTCAATACCGGTGCTTCGCTATGAAACTATGTGATTGGGCATAGTTTTTGGGGAGGAAAATAAGGGGGGGAAATTCTGCCTCTGCCTACCATCATCCATCGGTATTCATCTAGCTAGCGTCCTGTCAGTGTGTGAGTTGAGGGCTGTTTGGAAACTGAAAGTCTTTGCTGTGTGAGCAAGAAAGAGACAGCAAGGAGCCTGGGCGTGGCTTAGCTCAACTGTTCTGTACTAAAGCTGGTTGCTGCTGTGAAACTAAAACTGAAACTGAAACTTGTCTGCTTGTGTTTTGCATTTGGAACAGCTTTCTTTTCAGGTGGGGAGAGGGATTAGAACTCCTTAGCATCAGAGCATGTTAATGATAATAATAATAATAATATACAAAATACTAATGCTCTGATGGTTATCTCAAAAAATTCTTTCTTAGTGAGCACCTAGAAGCCAAGAGGAACATAAGTGCCAAATGTCAAGTTGGTAGACATTACGGTTCTGGAGATTTTGAATTGATGTGTGAGTGGTATTTCGCTTTTATAGAGAGAGATTTTCATTCTAAGGGTGTCTCCTTCTCTGCTTCTGATGCCCTGGGCCTGCAGCTCAGGAGGAGTGTAGACCTGATCTCCAATGTGTGTGTGTGTGTGTGTGTGTGTGTGCTTGAAGGTCATCTAGTCCAACCCACTGCCCAAGCAGGAGATCCTATACCATTCTAGACACGTGGCTTTCTAGTCTTTTCTTAAAAGCCTCCAGTGATGGAGCAGCCACAACTTCCGAAGTCAAAGCTGTTCCACTGGTTAAATGTCCTCACGGTTAGGGAGTTTCTCCTTAATTCCAGGTTGCTTCTCTCCTTAGTTAGTTTCCATCCATTGTTTCTTGTCTTGCTTTCTGGTCCTTTGGAGAATAAGCTGACCCCCCTCCTCTTTGTGGCAACCCCCCAAATACTGTAAGACCGCTATCACATCACCCCTAGTCCTTCTTTTCTCTAGACTGGCTATACCCAGTTCCTGAAACCGTTCTTCACATGTTTTTGTCTCCAGACCTTTAACCATCTTAGTTTGCTCTTCTCTGCATTCTTTCCAAAGTCTCAACATCTTTTTTTTATACTGTGGTGACGTAAACTTGATGCAGTATGAGTGGCCTTACCAAGACATCATAGCAGTGATGGCGAACCTTGTGCCCAAACCAGAAAGCGCCAGAAGTGGCATTCAGCAGGTTCTGACCAGTTCTGGAGAACCGGTATTAGCGGAAATTTTGAGTAGTTCAGAGAACCCGCAAATCCCGCCTCTGACTGGCCCCGCCCCCATCTATTCTCTGCCTCCCATTGAGTCCCAGCTGATTGGCTGGGGTTTTTTGTTGTTGCCCTCCACAGGAGAACGGAGCTGGAAAGCAGGTTAGTGGGGTGGGGAGGGAATGGGGATTTTGCAGTATCCTTCCCCTGCCACACCCACCAAGCCACACCACACTCACCAAGCCACGCCCACAGAACCAGTAGTAAAATAATTTGAATTCCACCACTGGAATGTGAGTGCATGTGAATGCATAGGACGCGCCCCGAAGCACAAGAACCCGGAGACCAGCTGGCCGGCGTGTGCATGCCTGGTTTTGGGCTGGTTTTGGGGAAAACAACTCCCAAACAGACAGAAAACAGCCTGAAGAACAGCCTGAACATGGCCAGAAAAAAGACAACAACCTGTTTGGGGGCCATTTTGTTGACCATTTCAGGCCATTTTCCAGCACTCCATCGACTGCAAAGACCAGCTGACCTATGCACATGCTCACAGAGAAGGCTCTGCATGCCACTTCTGGCATGCGTGCCAAAGGTTCGCCATCACGGCCTTATAGAGAGATAACTCACACTTCCTGGGCTTGGGACTTGGGATGGACTCACTAGCAGTGGTGGGATTCAATTTTTTTTTTTTACTACCGTTTCTGTGGGCGTGGCTTGGTGGGTGTGGCAGGGGAAGGATACTGCAAAATCCCCATTCCCTCTGCACCCCACTAACCTGCTTTCCAGCTCCGTTCTCCTGTGTAGGCCAATCAAAGAAGACCCAGCCAATCAGCTGGGACTCAATGGGAGGCAGAGAATAGAGGGGGGCGGGGCCAGTCAGAGGTGGGATTTTCCGGTTCTCCGAACTGCTCCAAATTTCCGCTATCGGTTCTCCAGAACTGGTCAGAACCGCCTGAAGACCATCTCTGCTTACTAGGGCAGCTCCATTGTGGCTGTTCTTGGCTGTTCAGCTTTCCCAGAAGCCCACTTGACCTTCCCTAGCTGAACAACTGCAGCGATTCACTTATATGTACAGGTAGACCTCGACTTAATGGACCCAAAATTTATCTTCCTAAGCAAGGCAATTGGTAAGTATCTCATTTTATGACAAAGTTTTTTTTTTTTGCCACAGTTACAGGTATTCCTTGACTTAAGCAGGGGTGGGGCTGCTGGGGGTTCGCAGGGGTTCGGGAGAGCCCCTAGCTATGATTCTGTGCAGTTCGGAGAACCCCCAAATCCCACTCCTCTCTGGAACTGCCCACCGCACCCCGCCCCTCCCAGGAGTCCCCACCTGGCCCATTTTGGATGCAGGTAAGTGCAGGGCACACACAGAGGCTCAGGGAGGGTGAAAAATGGGCCTCCCGGAAGTTCAGGAAATGGGCCCATTTCCAGCTTCCAGAGAGCCTCCGGAGCCTGGGGAGGCCCTTTTTGTCCTCCCGGAGGCTCAAGGAAAGCCTCCGGAGCCCAGGGAGGGCAAAAATGCCCGGCTGACTAAGCCGCACCCACCATGGCTACATCCACCCAGCAACCAGACAGAGAACCCTCTGCTAAAGTTTTGGAAGCCCATCCCTGGACTTACCCCAGGATATTTACTGTTCAAAGTTACAGCAGCCCTGAAAAAAAGTGACTTATGACTGTTTTTCACACTTACAACCGTTGCAGCACCCCCAGGGTCACGTGATCAAAATTCGGATGGCTGGAAGCTGATTCGTATTGATGTCAGTTGCTGTGTCCTGGGGAAACCTCAAATTCAGGATGTCCTCGACTTACAACAGTGCATTTAGTGGCCGATCAAAGTTAGAACGGCACTGGAAAAAGTGACTTAGCATTACTTTTCACCCTTGTGACCGTTGCAATGTCCCTCCCCATGGTCATCAAAATTCAGACACTTGGCCGCTGACTCATATTTACGATGGTTGCAGTGTCCTGGGATCATGATATTCCCCTTTGGCGGCCTTCTGACAAAGCAAAGTCAGCAGGGAAGCTGGATTCACTTAACAACTGTGTTATTCATTTCATAACTGTTTGCAGTGTGACTGCTATTGTTGGACAACCCAGGAGCAAAACAGAGCACGCAGACATTTAACAGTGGTTTATATACAAGACATATACAGAAATATAAGTTGTAGCAGGGGTGGGATTCAAATTTCTTAACAACCGGTTCTGTGGTTGTGGCCTAATTTGTGGGTGTGGCTTGGTGCTCATGTGACTGGGGCAGGACTTGCTGACTGGGCGTGGCTTGTATGTAAATATTGTAAATATTTATGTAAATGTTGATTTTTTATTTTAAAAAAAAAAAGCAATTTTTACCCAAAATCATGCAAAGAAGGCAGGCAGATTGAGTTGCTTGCAGAATCACAGATTCACTCAGAGATCTACCTTTCTGCAATCTGCTGCCTGAGTCTGTCACATAAAATTTGCTTGCAAGCAAACTCACAAAATTAACTCACAACACACCATGTATGTAAATATTGAATTTTTTTATTAAAAAAGAACAACTTTTACCCAAAATCAAGCAAAGAAGGCAGGCAGATTGAGTTGCTCGAAGAAGCAGATTCACTCAGAGATCTACCTTTCTGCAATCTGCTGCTTGAGTCTGCACTGCAAAATAGAAGCTTCAGTCTTAAGGAAGGTTCAGCTCTGCTCTCAGGCCACTTTTCTCCCCGCACACAACTCCCTGAATACTACCCCTGAGTGGGCCTTTCAGGGAAGCCTCCTGGGCGAAGGCAAAGCAGTACAACAATGATTTAGATTAGCTAGAAAGCAAGAAATCCAACACTTTCCTGATTTCTAGCTAATCTAAATCTCGCGGCACAGCTGATAGTCAGAATAGCTGATGGTTGGGGAGGGGGGGGGAGGAAAAATAGCAACTTACCAAAAATTAGGCAAAGGCATAACTTGGGCAAGTTGGATGGCGCGCATGCCAGGTAAGGGTGACTGGGCAGGGTGGGGCCAGCCAGTGGCGCGATTTGCCGGTTCTCCGAACTATGCATAATTGTAACAACCAATTCTATAGAACCGGTCTGACCAGGTAGAATCCCACCCAAGTGATAGGCAAAATACCTTACAAGCAATTAATCTTCTTAACTCTACATGGAGAACTCTGCAATGAATGCCGGACACAAGGAGAGAGAATACACCCTCTAATGGCTGCCTTATATAAACTTCTGTGACTCATTCTTCATCTTAAAAAAGCAATACCCATGCTATGCTGATTCACCCTCAATTGCATTCAGCCTTACATTGCATCAGCCTTACAGCAGCTGGCAGCCATTAAATCTTATACCTCAACAAGAACTGCAGTGATTCACTTAACAACTATGCCTAGAAAGGTGGTAAAATGGGGCAAAACTCACTTAGCAACTGCCTCTCTTAGCAGGAAATTGGGCTCAATTATGAGCATAGGTCAAGGGTTACTGTATGTGTACTTATCTCACATTTCTATCCCAGCAAGCACTCATGGCAGTTAATAAAAAAAAGCCGAACAAAGTAGAAGAGATTTTAAAAATACAAATAGAAGTTAACAATCAACTAAATTCTAAATCATGTAAGAGTTCAAAGCCAAATGCAAAAGATGTTATCTTTACGGGTTTTTTTGAAGCAAGCAGAAGACAAATTTATTTCTTGAGACAGCATGTTCCAGCCTGAGAGCAATGCAGGAAAAATGTCTCCTAGGATATCCCCTGACAGCAGAATAGCATCCTCCAAAGAGCCTATCCTGCAAATCCGTTCTGGGCAGGGTTGAATCAGTTGAAAGGCGGCCAATCCCTTAGAAAGTTAAGCTCCAAGCTTTTGAACAAGATCAATACCTGCAGTAAGGGAATTGTACACAGTAAGCAGTTGGCAACCAAGGGCAGATCTTTCTGGATCTCCCATTCTGGGATCTATGTACCGCATCTGTCAGCACCCAACTGTCATAGTTTGCACTAAATGCAGTTTCTGGATTCCTTCAGGGGGGACTCTGTGGCAGAGGTGGGATTCAGCAGGTTCTGACCAGTTCTGGAGAACCGGTAGTGGAAACTTTTAGTTCGAAGAACCAGCAAATCCCACCTCTGACTGGCCCCGCCCCCATCTCTTCTCTGCCTCCCATTGAGTCCCAGCTGATGGGCTGGGTCTTCTTTGGTTGCCCTGCACAGAAGAACGGAGCCGGAAAGCAGGTTAGTGGGGTGGGGAGGGAATGGAGATTTTGCAGTATCCTTCCCCTGCCATGCCCACCAAGCCACGCCCACCAAGCCATGTCCACAGAACCAGTAGTAAATTTTTTTGAATACCACCACTTCTCTGTGGACAGCATGTTGCTGTGGCGAAGGTAAGGTAACAGAAACAGGTTGTAAAGTGGGGCAAAACCCCCTTAACAAACGCCTCGCTTAGGATCAGAAATTTGGAGTTCAATTGTGGTTGCAAGTCAAGGACCACCTGTGCCAAAGACCCTCATGTTAATCCTGAGCTACAAATATTCTTGATTGAAACTCGTATCTTGAGGAACTTCAAGTGTGATCCCAACACCGTTGTGAATCCCTAATCATAACAGAATAGAATAACTGAAAAACAGAGTGGGAATGGACCTTGGAGGTCTTCTAGTCCAACCCTATACCCAAGCAGGAGACCCTACAACATTTTTGACAGATGGCAGTCCTGTCTCTTCTTGAAAGCTTCCAGTGATGAAGCTCCCACAACTTCCGAAGGCAACTTCTGTTCCATGGGTTGATTGTTCTCACTGTCAGAAAGTTTCTCTTTATTTCCAGGTTGAATCTCTCCTTGTTCAGTTTCCATCCATTTTTCCTTGTCTGGCCTTCAGGTGCTTTGGAGAATAGATTGATCCCTTCCTCTCTGTGGCAGCTCCTCAAATATTGGAAGACCGCTATCATGTTTCCCCTGGTCCTTCTCTTCACTAGACTAGCCATGCCCAGTTCCTGCAACCTCTCCTCTTATGTTTTAGCCTCCAGTCCCCTAATCATCTTGGTTGCTCTTCTCTGCATTCTTTCTAGAGTCACGAAGTGAACAGTTGCAAGTTGAGGACAACCTATATATATAGTACTTTCTTTCAAAGCCAAAGGGACAGCCATATTAGTGAAATCAGTATTTTAATTCTGTGACTTTATTCTTAAATACAGGTTGTTCTCGACTTAACAGTTAGTGATAGTACAAAGTTACAACACCACTGAAAAAGTGACTTATCACTATTTTCCACACTTATGAACATTGTAGCATCCCCACAGTCACACGAATAAAATTCAGACGTTCAGCAGCTGACTCATATCTATGACAGTGTCAGTATTCTGATGAGCCAAGTCAATGGGGGAAGCCAGATTCACTTAACAAGTGTGTTTATGACTTAATAATTGTTGTGGTTCGCCAGCAGCAGGTGCGGAGGGCTGAGGTCTCGGAGAGCGAGGACTCAGATGAGGGGCCTGCGTGTGATGCAGGGATGGGGCCAGGACCATCAGGGAGTAGAATGCTGCCTTCGGAGATTGTGGAGGCTGGCAGCAGTGATGAGGAGGTTCCCGAGGAGCCTGTGCCCAGTGTGCATGCGCGCAGGGCTGCTCGAAGGAAAGAGCAGCTGCAGCAGCATGGGCGACTCAGGAGTAAGGCTGCAAGGTAATGGCCCCTCCCTTAGGAGATAAGAGCCAGCTGAGAAACCGGAGTTCTTTGCAGAAGGCAAAGACGTTTGATACTCGACCCTGGTGGACGTTAGGAATATCTGAGTTGGTGTTTGGAGACTCTTTGATTTATTGTTTAAGAACTTTATCTGTTGTTCTTGGCAACCTTGCAAAAACTTGGCAAGGCTCTTCCTTATCACAGCTAATTAGTTGGAAGGAGCCTTTTTTACCTGTGAAGGAACGGGATTCGTAAATGAAACAGTAAAAGGTTGTGCTGGTACCTTTGTCTTATGTATACTCTCTTGGAACCAGGTTTGGGTCAGAACAATAACTGCAGCAATTCACTGAACAAAAGTGGCAAAAAAAGACGTAAAATGGAGCAAAACTCACTTCACGAATTTTCTCACTTAACCACATACATTCTGGGCTCAATTCTGATCGTATGTCGAGGACTACCGGTGCACCCCGAACCATTTCTTCGGTCTTTAGTTTGCAGAAACAGATCAATACGAATAAAGCGAGGATTTCAAAACCTTTGATATCGGAAAACTCTTTTCTTTTTTTATTTATTAATTAGCCTATCATAGGCCATTATCAATGTACAGGATCAAACACATATTATCTATAAAATTCAAAACAGACCATTTAAAATGAGAGTAGGATAAAATACAACAATTTAATACATAAACATGTAAAATAGAATAAAACAACGTAAAATTATATTTCTTTTATCAACCCTGTGATTTATCCCAGTCAGGCCCACATAGGCTGATCTCAGTTGGACCATTTTAGTCAGAAATAGTGCTGTATTGAATGATTTATTTGCATAAACAGAGTTTGGGTAAAACCCACGCGGTGATCAGATCAGCTGGCTATAAAAAACCTTGCGGTTGTGTGAAGTCTTTGTATACTTTCTGGGGAAGTAAAATCACTGAACTTAATCCTATCTCTGAGCGTCGCTTTGCAGAACTGCCTTCTCAGGTAAAATCTGCAGGTAAACAGTTTGTCATGCCCCTGGTGGAGACTGACTCTGAGGGAGAGGAGGAACAGCCAACAGGGAGTGGAAGTGTGGCTCCGGAGGTTGTGGAGGAGGCTGGGGAAGGGCAGAGATCAGCAGGGAAGTGAGAGGAGGACCCAGGCCCATCCCCTCTCCATCCTAGGACATGCAGGGAGGAGAGGATAAGGGAGAGACGTGGTCTACTCGGGAGGAGAGGGCCTTGATCCTCTTCATGGGCTGCAGCTGTGACAACTGGATAAACGGATGGACCTGAATACTGGCAAGTGCTGGAAACAAAGCGTGGAAATATCTCTAGTTTATAGTTCCTCTCTGAGTTTGGCGTCCTTCCCAGTGTGTGTTCTGTTATCTGCGAACATCCTCCAGCCCTTATCTTGCCTGGTTTGTGTTGCTTTTTTCCTTCTTCTTGTAACTGTTTGTGTGGGAGTTTTTTGTCTTGCGTCAAGGATATTTGGAGCTTGGAAGCAAAGTGAAGGAATAAAAGGGGCTTCACCTGTTTTTTGTGACTGTGTTTATTTTGTATCCCACCCTGGGTCATCACACAGTTTCTAAAAAGAACCAAATGTCTTTTTTTTTTTTTTTCGTAGCTCCGGACGCGCCTTACACTCACTGGAAGCAAACTGTATTTTACCTGGAGGATTATCTAACTGTCCGAAGAGGGGAAGAAATCTATGGAACCATATCCATGAAACCAAATGAAAAAAATGAGGTAAGTTAGGTAGGTATATATATATATATATATATATATATGAATGCTGGCGTCCAGATTGGGCAGCTGGTTTCAGGGATAGGATTTTAGAGGCATTTTTGTCAGACGAGTTAGTAGGTTAAAATCCCAGTCTGATCTTAAAGAATCATGTTTTATAGCTAAAGGCTTAGGATTTTTATTTATTTATTTGTATCCCGCCTTTATTATTATTATTTTTATAAATAAGCCAAGATGGCAAACATATCCAAGACACCTTCCTCCTTGCGTTGAGTAAATGAGACCCATTAGAGCAGAGTTCACCAACTCTTTCCGGGTTGGCGGTCCAGAGTGCGGTGGGGGGGAATAGGGGTAGGTGCATGTGCACGAGCACCCATTACTTGCGGGAGTGGGGCCTCAAGCATCCACAGTGGGCTGCGAGTAGCTGCGTGAGTGGGCCTGTCAGCGCCCATGACATTTCCACACGCACCTGCCAGCTACTTGGAAAAGGAGGCCTTCTCTCTGTAGTAATTTGCTTTGAGGTTTTGGGAAAGAGAACTGGTCACAGGTATTGGAGAAGATTCTTGAGGGTCCGTTGAACCTCAAGAAGATCCAATCAGTCGATCCTAAAGGATATCAACCCTTTACTGTTCTTTGGAAGGGTAGATCCTGCAGCTGAAGCTGAAATACGGGAACTCCTCGACTTACAACAATTTAGTGGCTGTTCAAAGTTACAATGGCACTGAAAAAAGTGACTTAGGATGACTTATCACACTTATGACCGTTGCAGCATCCCCATGGTAATCAAAATTCATTTATGACAGTTGCAATGTCCTGGGATCAGGGATCCCCCTTGGCGACCCTTCTGACAAAGGAAAGTCTATGGAGAAGCCAGATTCACTTAACGACCACATTACTAGCCTAACAACTGCAGTGATTCACTTAACAACTGGGGCAAGGAAGGCCCTAAAATGAGACAAAATTCACTTAATGAATGACTCTCTTAGCAAGAGAAATTTGGGGCTCAATTGTGGTCATAAGTCGAGGGCTACCTGGACATTGGCCACTCCTTGGAGAAGACCTCGATGTTGGGAAAGTGGGAAGGCCAAAGGAGAAGAGGACGGCAGAGGAGAAAATGGCTAGATTGGTTTGTTGTCACAATGAACATTGAGTTGGGGTAAATTCTGGGGGACAGGAGACAGGACCACTGATGGGATTCAAATAATTTAACAACCAGTTTGCCCAGGATCAGGATGGCTGTCCTGGGAGGCGTGCCCCATTCCTATCCTCCAGCTCTGCCCCACATGTGGGACACACAAGACCATCCTGCAATGGCCAACCTGACCCTGGGCGAACCGGTTGTTAAATTACACCTCTCTGCTATCAAAGTGGATCCTGGTGCTGCGCTGCAATGGAGAAACAGGCAACGGAGCAGACGGCACGAGAGATGGAAAAGGAGCAGGGAGAAGAAAGAGGGAAAGCGGCCTTCTTCTTCCCTCGTGACGGCTGCTCCATTGCCCATTTCTCCATTGCAGTGCAGTCAGTAGTGGGATTCATCCACTTTGCACCACTTCAGGAGAACTGGTTGTTAACTTTCTGAGCAGTTTGGTGAACTGGTTGTTGGAAGAAATCATTAGGGCAGAGGACCGGTTGTTAAATTATTTGAATCCCACCACTGAGCGCAGTGCCCAGGAGCCACTTTAATAGTGGAGGGGAAAATAATTTAACAACCGGTTCACGCGAACTGGTGAGAACCGGCTGAATCCCACCACTGGACAGGACTAGGGGGTTGTGGGGAGTGAGGCACAACTTAGTGCTGAATAACAGCAACCAGTCAAAAGAGAAGGACAGCCTGGGTTGACTTTCTCTTGCATGAAGACGCAAGATGAAGCATGAGTTCCATCCCACTGACCTGGCATAAAACCAGAGAACATCAGCTCAGTGGGCCAATGCAAGCCATCTGAGGCATTGAACAAATCCTGAAAAATGGTCGCTGGAAACCAACATTATAATCCATCCGGAAGTCCCCAGGTGGCAGGGCACCATCTGTTCTCACTAATGGGAACATTTCTGGCTTTCCTCGAGCGTGAAAGAATCCTCTCCGTTGGCCAAGGCTTTTTTCCATTGTGCCTACAACATCATTGACTTGATGTCAACAACTTGGCTCTCTTGAGTGCTCCGGCAGGCTCATGGATCAGCCCTGGAAAATATTTGGTGTTTTATCACAGCGAGGGGTGGGGTCAGCTTAGAGCTGTGCAGCTGTGCATTTGATTGAAGGGTGCCAGTAAAATACAGTTTGCTCTAATTCCCTGTAAATTGCCGTCCCCCCCCCCCCACATACACAGCCTGACTGGAGGGTTGCATGGAGGGAGCTCTTTCAAACTTAGCAAGACTTCGGAGCACGGTGTTGTTTGGAACTCGGAGGGAATCTCTTGAATGGCGAGGCGGAGATCTTTTTGTGAATTGCTTTGGTTTGGGGGTTCCCGTCGACTAACACAGTTCTCCCGGGGTGTGCAATTCACACAATTGTTGTCTTGCTCCAGAAAGCTTATCTAGGGAGCTTCTGGGCACCTTTTCCAAGCTGAAGGGGTAGGCAGCCATTGGCAGAACCGCAATCTCCATTGGCGGTGAAGCGGGGGAGGCACAGCCGTTCCATGCAGGGAGAGACCAAGAGGATTGTCCCTTTTTGAAATCTTCCCCCAGCTCCCATTCCCGCCTCAATGGAAGTGGTTGAATGACATGTTCCTGATCCAGCAAGGCAGACCATGTGTTCTGACCAAGGCTCTCCGAGACCATAATTAAGCACATGCTTAGTCCAAACAACTGTTGTTTTATTTCAACGCTGGGAATTATGCTCATTCCCAGCCCATAATGAGTCCCAAACAGTCCTGCAAGATAAGCACCCACCTTTCTCCTTTGAATTGCTGCCAACTAAAGTGCCAAATTAACTGTAAAAAGCCAAACGGAGTACAAAGTCCACACAAAGCTTCAAAGTTTAATCCGAACAGAACGACTTTGCTTCCCGCAAAGGTTTCTCTACCTTTGCATCTCCTTTATACCTTATACCGCAACTGAGACATAATTTCTATGGCTGAGTGAGAAACTTTTTAAAGTGAGTTTCCCCCGCATTTTAATGGCTTTTTCTTAAGTGAATTCCTGCCATTGATTTTAAGTTAGTAACATGGTTGTTAAACGAATCTGGCTTCCCCATGGTCTTCGCTTGTCAGGTGGTTGCAAGAGGGGATCGCCTGACCCCAGGACAATGCATCCATTGTAAATATGAGTCAGTTGCCGAGCGTCCGAATTTTGGATCGCGTGACCCTGGGGGAGGCTGCGACGGCTCCAAGTGCCAAAAACGGTCCTAAGTCACCTTTTTTCAGTGTCGTCGTAACTCGTAAACTGAACTGGTCACTAAGTGAAGTGTCATAAAACGAGGATCTCCCCAAAGTACAGGGTTAACCACAGGCCTTCTCTCGTTCATAACCGGTAAGCAAAAGGATCTGATCTCTACGTTCTTTGCAGCGTGACCTCGACTTCATGGTGGAATTGGATTTTAAAGGGCAGCTTTGCGAAGCCTCCGTATCTAATGACTATAGGATGCGCTAACGAGCAGCTGTCTTTGAAGACGTGCGGTTCTGGATTTGACCCCCAAAAAAGAAGTGCAGTTCTGGATTTTGACAGTGCCAGAGGAGTGAGCTTTATCACTATCAAAACTAGCCGCCCGGACGTTCTGTGGATCTGGAAATTTGTTCATCTCCTCACCCTGCCAAGATCGTCCAAGGAGTAACAACAACTTCCCATTAAAGGATTGTATACATATTTTTACAGGCACCTGGTGTTGTGCTGACTTGTATCCCGAAACGTTTAAGCAGAGGTGGTATTTAGCCGGTTCTGACCGGTTCTGGAGAACCAGTAGCAAAAATTTTGAGTCATTTGGAGAACCGGCAAATCCCACCTGACTGGCCCCGCCCGCATCTATTCTCTGCCTCCCATCGAGTCCCAGCTGATTGGCTGGGTTTTCTTTGGTTGCCCTGCATAGGAGAATGGAGCTGGAAAGTAGGTTAGTGGGGTGAGGAGGAAATGGGATTTTATAATAACCTTCCCCCAGGAGTGGGGAGGGAATGGAGATTTTGCAGTATCCTTCCCCTGCCACGCCCACCAAGCCAAGCCACACCCACCAAGCCACACGCACAGATCTGGTAGTAAAAAATTTTGAATACCACCACTGGTTTAAGGGGGGCAGCCAAATTGAGATACCATCTTGTTAGTTTTGACATTTCTTTTTTTCATTGTTTTTAAAAAAACAAACCTGCATACAAATAATATTCACGTGCTTGTATTATATATGTATGTATGTATGTATATGTGTGTGTGTGTATATGTGTGTGTGTGTATATGTGTGTGTGTGTATGTATGTATGTATGTATGTATATATATATATATATATGTATGTGTATGTATGTATATATATATATATATATATATATATATATATATAATTGCAAGCTTTCATGGCTTTTTTTAAAAATACAGCCCTTGGGATACAACCAATTCCTAAATTTGTCTTAGGAAACGGTCTCCTTTTTTACCGCCTAGAGGTAGTCCTCGAATTAGGACCACCATTGAGCCCAGAATTGCTGTTGCTAAGTGAGATGTTTGTTGGGTGCCCCGTTGGATGAGCTTTCTTGCCTGCTATTGTTAAGCAAATTGCTGTCCTGGTTCAATTAGTAACACGGTCATTAAGGGGGAGAAGGTTGCAAAAGGGGATAACTGTCATAAATACGAGTCAGTTACCACGCGTCTGAATTTGGATCACATGACTGAGGATGCCTATTATAAGTGTGAAAAACAGTCAGTCACTTTTTTTCAGTGGTGTTGTAACTTTGGTCACTAAATGAACTGTTGTTAAGTCGAGGACTACCTGTATTCAATTGTGACACTCGATGGAATTGCCAAAGTGGAAGTGTTGTGTTTTCATTATTTTAAGGCAGGACCTAAGAGATGGCAACGTACCCCCCCAAAATAAGTTTAATACTGTTTTAAAGAAAATCTTGACACCCCCTCAAGACAAAAAAAAAGAAGAAAAAGGAGAAAAAGAGAGAAAAAAAAAGGAGAAAAAGAAGACACCCCTCCACACACACACAGAGCAGATCCAGCATGATCTGAAGTTGTTGGTCTCTGGCACTACAATGGCTCTTCTCTCTGGCCAACGCAGGATCTCCAGTCTGCTTCAGAACAAGTATGAAAGGAAGGATAAAATAAAATAAAATAAAACGGGGAAGTTCTTGGTGCTCTCTACGCTTGGTCATTCATTTTCAGATGTTTGGTTACCTGACCAGGTAATGTTCTCAGTGCTAGAGAATAAAGTTTCCTCTTGCAATAGAAGTCTCTTGGAATTTGATGGGTTTCTCTCATTTTACATCTGTTCAAACGGAGCAGAAAAACACCTTTTGCTTCAACAGCCCCCAGGAAAGTGTGTGTGTGTGTGTGTGTGAGAGAGAGAGAGAGAGAGAGAGAGAGAGAGATTTTTTGCTGCCCTACTATAACGATCAGAAATCCACCTACCTGCCAATGCACGCAAGAAGATGATTTAAGTAAAGCAGTTCTTAACGAATGTGCTTGAAAATTTGCCTCTGTGTATGTGTGTGTATCTTTACACTTCTCTTTGTCCAAAGCAGGGATGTCCAACCTTGGCCACTTTTAACTTCCAGAATTATGTACGTCAATGAAGACTCCATCATCCAGGCCAAAAGTAATCTAAAAAGGTTTAGTCAGGGGCAACAGGACCAAAGTATATTCATACACTTTAATAAACAGTTGCCATGATTTAACCTTTTGAACTCCCAGAATTGGACTCGCAGGGCTGGCTGGGGAATTCTGGGAGTTGAAGTCCACATGCAGGGGTGGGCTTCAAAATATTTAGCAACTGGTTCTCTACCCAGTTGCTGGGTGGGTGTGGCTATGGTGGACGTGGCCTAGTCAGTCTTCTTCACCGTTTTTGCCCTCCCTGGGCTCCGGAGGATTTCCTCAAGTCTCTGGGAGGGCAAAAAAGGCCTCCCCAGGCTCCGGAGGCTCTCTGAAAGCCAGAAACAGGCCCATTTCCAGCCTTCCCGAACTTCCGGGAGGCCCGTTTTTGACCTCCCTGAGCCTCTGTGCATGCCGCGCACTTACCTGCATCCAAAACGGGCCACGTGGGGACTCCTGTGAGGGGCAAGGTGGGCGGGGCGGGGCCATCCAGTCGTTGCAACTACCGGTTCAGTGAACCTGAGGTAAAATTAACATCCAGATCGCTTGAACCGGTGTGAACCGGTAGCAGCCCACCTGTCGACATGTCTTTTAAGTGGCCAAGGTTGGAAGTTCCTGGAAATTCCAGGAAGGATGTTCGTAGGCTGCCTCCGGATAGGAAATCAGAAGGACCAAGGGCTTCATGAGGGCTAAGCTTCCATTCTTTGAGTTGAATTGGTTTCTGATTAACAGATTAACAGAGTTGGAAGGGACCTTGTAGGTCATCTAATCCACCCCACCTGTTTTTTTTTTTTACAAGGACGGGGGTGAGGGAATGGGACTCCAAGGACTTTCAGGGAGGTAGGTGACCTTCCCTCTGTATCCAGAGATGCTTAGCACCCAAACAGCCTTCCAAGGCACTTTGTCTTTCCACACTGGTCTCCTTGCAGAAGGAAGAGAGACGGGACAGCACAGGTGGCTTCTGACCTTGCCTCCACCCTCGACCAGCTCCAAACTTTGCGGTCAGTGGGGCTTTGTGTCTATGGAGATTCTCAGCCATTCTGACCTCCCACAGGTGGAGAGGCCTGTCTTCTCAGGTGAATGAGGTAGAAGAACAGATGGGGCCCATCCCAGATGCGCGTATGCGTAGAGAGGAGAGCAGCTGGAAGGCAATAAGCTGGCTTTCAGGGAAAAGAAGTCGTAGACCAGAGGTGTCAAACTCGATTTCATTGAGGGCTGTATCAGGGGTGTGTATGACCTCGGAGAGCTGTGTGAGCAGGACATGGGATTCGTGTTGGGGGCACCTGTGGTTGCCAAGTTCTAATGCAGGACTTCAATGAGACTCTCCTCACTCTCATTATAATCTTCCTTCCTTCCTTCTCCACCTGCACCGTTTTCTCCGTAGGAGGCCGTTGCGGCCAAAAATGGGGGTGCAGGGGGCATGTGTGACCCCGTGACCCATTTCTGCTGGCAGAGGGTTATAGGAGGCAATCACACCTGAAACTGACATGGGGGGCATGTACACCCCCCTTGATCCCCATTTTTACTGGCAGAGGACTGCAGGAGGCCCCCTTGAGCTCCATTTTCACTGGCAGACACACTGCTGGCCAGTTCTTTGCTGTTTCCAGGCTGGCCCCACAGGCTGGATCTAAGCACCCCATGGGCTAGGCGTTGAGTTTGACACCCCATCGTAGATGCAGCCAGCTCCTCCCTGGCTGGGAAATAAATAGCAGGCGCTTGGGAGTGGACTGTTGTCGCAGACAATCGTTTGTTTTCCAGGGTACATCAATCATGTCGGATCTCTTTACCAGAACCAGGTTTGTCAGCGCTCTGTATTTGAGGTGCCAACGGAGTCTCCCTGCTGGGAAGTAGTTGAGAGTAAATTTGCCTCAGTTGACGTGAACAGGGCTGTCCTTGTTCTGTTTTTAGAAGGGGAAAAAAACTTTCATTTGTGACTCATTGCTTTTGGTTTTGTTGATCCAATGTGAACAAAGACTGTTCCTTCCCTGATGTAAATTAAAAAAAAGGGTTTGTGTTACTCATGAGTAAGCAGTTTCTCATTGCTTGGTGAAAACTGGATCAGAACAGGCGCAGAAAAAGAAGCAGTTTTTTTAAAAAAAAATTCCTGAAGAGTTTCGCTTCTCATCTAAGTATCTGTGGAGATTCTCCACCATCCAGGTCCTGGTTTGTCCCAAAAGTGTTTTTTCAAAAGTGCCTTTCTTCGTTTGTTTGTTTGTTTGTTTGTTTTTTCCTGAAGACATTTCGATTGGGGTCAGAGTTAGGGTTGGACTTCTCATCCAAAAAGTGTTAGAACTGAAGAAGCTCCTTGGAGGAGAAGTGAAAAGATCTAAAAGAAAAATCAGAAAGTCCATTTGCTTTTCAGAGAAAAGCACTTTCGGGACGATGATGGCCTTCCTCAAAAACATGAAACCTCCCTTCTCATTGCTTTTCCTTCCGCACAAAAGATGGAGGCAGACACTGCAGGGCCCAAGCCGTCGTTTAACAGGACAGGCACCGACACTTTGCAACAGAGAAATGAGCCATGCCACAGCTCTAGAGGGCTAATCATTTCGTCCTTGCGTGCTGAAAGTGTGCTCGCATGCCTGCACCCATAATGCAAGGCGCGACCCCTCTGCGCAGGCATGCACGACCCGTGCCGCACACTTCACGCCTCTGCGCATGCGTGCGGGCCTTCCCCTTGCGCCCCACCCCCCGCGCATGCACAGCAGATACCCGACAATCTGCTGGCTGGTGGAAGTCACGCACACATGCGCAGTGCACCTGATCTGGGGCAACGGCTCATGTGCCGGCAGAGATGGATGCCTCTGCATGCCACTTCTGGCATGTGTGCCACGAGTTTGCCATCACGGATATAGGTAGTCCTCAACTTATGACCTTATTCAGCAACCCAAGGCTTCCCCACACCCCGAGGCACCCCATACTCCACATACCGACTGCAAGGGTGGGAGAGAGCTGGAACTGCATGGGTGCCTTGATTAACAACAGCAACAACTTAAAGGACCGTAATGCTGGGCCCAATTGTGGTCGTAAATTGAGGTAACTGTACTGGTAATCCTCGACTTACGACCACAATTGAGGCCAAAATTTCTGTTGTTAAGTGAGACATCGGTCAAGGGGGTTTTGCCACCTTTCTCTCCACAGTTAGCCACACGGTTGTTAAGTGAATCAGATTTCCTTACTTGTCTGAAGGTTGCAAAAGGGGATCCCATGACCCTGGGAGCACTGCAACTGTCATAAATACGAGTCAGCACCACAGGGCTGCTTGCAATTCGTCGTAAGTGTGAAAAACGGTCACAAGTCACTTGTGTCAGACGGTCATTTAGAACTGTTGTGAGTGGAGGACTACCTATAATCTCACCGCACCCCCACTTCCCAAACCACCCCCTCCTGGGAAGCGCCAGTCCGGGGAGGCTCCGCTTTTGTGTCGCCCTCGCCCCCGTCGCAGCAACGAGGAGCAACGACGATGAAGAAGGCGGGAAAAAGTCCAGTGGAGGAGGTAGCCTGGCCCCGCCCCTCTCTCCTTGGCCGCCCCGTCCCTCTCTCTCCCTGGCCGCCCCGCCATTGGCCGCCCCGCCCACGTGATCGCAGCGAGCTTTGCCGGCGCGAAATTCAAACCGACCCGCGGAGCCTCATCGATCGCTCGCCCGGCCGCTCCGGCCTCGCCGCGCAGCCCGTTGGAGGGGGCGGCCGGTAAGAGCCTCCGCGCAGGCGGGGAGGGGAGGAAGGCAAGTCGGGGCGGCGGGAGCCGTGGTGGAACCGGCTGCCGAAGCGGGATTTCGTGGCCCCGTGTTGCATGGAGAGCGGGTCGTCCGATCCCAGGATCGATGCTCTTTTCCCCTGGGAAGCCCGGGGTGACTCTTCCCCCTCACGCCTCCAGGCCCAGATCTCGTAGGATCACCGAGAAAAGTCAGTGCGTTCCCCCGGGGAGCCGGGATCTTCTTTCCTTGTCCCTGCCCCCCCCGCCCGGTTCCCCCCCCCCCGCCCGGTTTCCCACACCGTGGATCTGAAACCGTGGACCGGCTGCCTCTTCCGCAGGATCCGTTTTGCTTCCCGATGAGGATCCCTTGCGCTCTCCAGCATGAAGAGCCGATCTCATCAGCCGCTGATCCTCAAGAAAAGGAAGTCCTCTCGGCCGGGAAGCCCAGCGGAGGACGAAGAAGCGAGGAGTCCAGCGGGCCGGCTCAAGCAGGAGCAGCAAGGAATCGCCTGCGATCTCCAAGGCGTCCCGGGGGGATCTCCCCGCCAGATGGCCGTAGCAGAGGACCGCTTCGCCTTGATCAACTCGCGCGGGGTCAGCAGAAGCCCGGCCCCAGCAGAAACCCAAAGCCACAAGGACTTGCTAGCCGCTGAGCAGTGTCCTAGGAAGGACCCAGCCTTGGGGAGTCTATCCGGGAAAGGGAGCAGCTCTCTGGGCCTGGACGCCAGGCCGTTTCAAAACATATCCGGATCTGAAGAAGGGAGCATCTCTGCAAACCAGGGGGCCCCCGAGGAAGAAAAGCTGGCTGGGCTATTGTCCTGGACCCAGGAAGAGTTGGATTTTTTGGCCTCGCAGTCTTTGGGTAGCCAAGAAGAGGAAAGAACCAGTAGGTAGACCTTTTTCGTTTGGGAGGTTTTTGTACGATGGGCCATGAAGAGCCCCACAGAGGTGTTTTTAGTCATAGTAAACAGCCTTGATTGTCATTGTACATAATGTCTAAAAGGGAATTGGTTTAGCCTCTACTGGTGTAATCCGTAAGGAAAAATACAGGACAACATGGATAGTCTAGAGAATAATCCCTATTCAAGCAATTGGGGAAAAGAAAAGAAAAATCATAACAGAAAATACAAGACAACATGGATAGTCTAGAGAATAATCCCTATTCAAGCAATTGGGGAAAAGAAAAGAAAAATCATAATAGAAAATACAAGACAACATG